TGGCAGCAGTGAGCCGGCCATTTGGCTCCTCTACCTCTTGAGCGCCAGAGAGTAAGGGTAGCATTAGCATTGTGTAAACATTAGCTTTTTTTTCAGTAAGAGGTTTTTATTTAATAGAATTTTTGGACAAAAAAATCGCAATATATCGCAAAACATTGCCTTGCTTACAGTATCGCAATATATCGGGGTATATTGTATCGTGACCCCTCTGTTATGATATGTATCGTATCGCCAAATTCTTGCCAATACACAGCCCTAATGATTATGTAATTTTTCATTACTGATAGCCTCTAAAGTGTGTACAGTTCTAAAGCATAAAGCTCTAAAATGTACAAAGTTTATTATTCTTTTTTTATTGTTAAGGGTAAGTAGTTTTACCAAATGAACCCTGCTTTTCTTGACTTTAACTGGTAAATTCCTGCTGTTCACCTTATGCTTTTTGTTTGAAGCACACATAATAAAACCACAACCCTGCAAACATTCAAGGGAATGTTTGACGTCAAAAATATCTCAAAATTCAGCAGATTAAAAGAGTCTGGAAAAGCTGCAAATTTCAAAATGGGAATAGTGTAGGAAGCTCAGTCCCCCGTCGACTGTCTGAACAGCGTCATGGTTTATCTGACTTTACTCAGACATGACTCGTTTGTTTAAGCGTTCAAACTCTTGCATCTTTGTTGTGGGGAGAAGTGCGCAGAATCGYATCACTTAATGAAAGCAACATGCTCGAATTGTGCCAGAGTCTGTCATCTTAAAACCCAGCGTGCTTCCAGCCTTGCCTCTATTATTCTTAGCTTCTTTCTGAACTCCAATTCAGCTTCGAGCCTCTCATAAAATAACACTCGCATTTCCCCTCAGAGGTCTGCAATTTCTGCGACTCCTTCACATTATGTTCCCACATTATTATTTAGCGTGCGCGCTGGATAGGAAGGTGGGCCGAGCTGCCGTTAGCATGTGTATGTTGGCAGGGTGTGGCGCGGAGCGCGTCTGGTGATAATAGTTGGGCGAGTGTCGAAGGCAGGTATTACAGAGCTGCGTTGAGGAAGGGGGGCAGCGAGAAGGCCCATTTGTGAGGTGGGGCTGTGCTACCATTTATATAACTGCCTAGGAAGCAAGACATTTACTCACCCACACACTTTCCTTCTCCGCACCAGTGTTTACTGTGAGCTTCACACACATGTGGCACATGCTGAGTTCTAAGTAACCCTTTTGTCTTCGCAGGGATTCGTGCTGTGCCATTCAATCGCCGGGGGGACCGGCTCAGGACTGGGATCGTACCTGCTGGAGAAACTGAACGACAGGTCCGCAAAACGGACGCGCAGCTCGCTCGCGATCCGTTCTGTGTGTAAACAAAGTATTTCCCGCTCTACAGGTACCCAAAGAAACTGGTGCAGACGTACTCCGTTTTCCCGAACCAGGACGAGATGAGCGACGTGGTCGTTCAGCCGTACAACTCGCTGCTCACGCTGAAGAGGCTCACCCAGAATGCAGACTGTGTGGTGAGCAGCACTTCAGTGGTTGATTAATGCCAGTGCTTTCAAGATAAAAAGTGGTGCACAAGAAACACAGACATCCTCGCTTAAAATGGCCGTCAATCAAACTATCAAGAAAAAAAAGGACATCGAATAAAAATAATCCTTGTTAGTATATCTGTAGATATAAAAGACTATTAATGTCTTTAAGGTCCTCTGTTTTTGTAGTTCTGTAAATATCTACTACTTGAAGTACCACAGCTGGTTTTCCTTTATAGTTTGCTGGTAGAAAATACACTTTTCAGGCTTTTCCATTGCTTGTGTGGCAAACTAATAAAGACACAAATTGCAGTGGCAGCACTAAGGCCCAGGAAATCCAGCTTATTGAGTTTCTCTCTTAAATATGTGATTGTATTAGCCAGAGACACACTGGCAGTCTAATGGCGTTTCCTCTTTAATACCTACTTCCTCCAGGGTCTTGCATAAGGTCCTCATGTTGATTGAATTAGCTTGAGAGCTAATAAAATCTACTCTAAGAATCGGTCTCCCTGTTGCAACTATACACTGCGTCATTTATGGCCTGTTCTAACAACAGCACACTGTGAGACTTCTTAAGATGTTCCTTGACAGCATATTATTGTACGGACAGTGAATTTATTTATTTATTTATTTTTAATCGTCATTTGTCTAATATATCCACTCTGTGTTTTTCATTAGGTGGTGCTTGATAACACGGCTCTGAATCGTATCGCCACAGACAGGTTGCATATCCAGAATCCCTCGTTCTCCCAGATTAATCAGCTGGTGAGTGATCATAACTGGCTTTTTTTGGGGGGGTGGGGGATTCACTGGTTTTAATTAGAGATTTGTTCTGCATCGTACCTGACTGTTTCTGAACAAGAAGCAAATGTTCACCTGGCACTCGCTAAAAAAAAAAACCTCACAAACTTGTGTAGTGGGTTATTTGAAAATCAGACCGGATTGCAGCTTTCCTAGAAAAGATTTGCACATGGCTGCACTTTCCAAGTGGTATTATAACTTGTTTGACTAGTATGTTTTGAACAAACCCGTTTTAGGATTTGGAGATAAATGATCTCACATTTATTTGTTCAGTCCCCCCCCCCTTTTTTTTTCCCCTCCAAATAAACTCGACTGTTCTAAGAAACTGTCAAAAGGCAGCTGTACTTGTTTATTTTTTAATTCTTGGATATATGTCCCCTTCTCATTCAAGGAACTTTATCTATTCCAAATTGAAAGGTACAGCGTTTTTAAGCTTGTTGCTTAAACTTYAAACTTCACATGTTTTGGTTTTTAAYCTGAGAAAGCTCCTTGAATGAGAAGCAAAATGCCTGCAAGAGTCAAAAATAAATCTAGTTTTTTAAATTAAGTTTGTTAGGGTTGGCACATCCTGGATGACTGCAACTCTACTCTGCTTTTTAAACTTTGCTTTTTAGGTTTGTGGAATAGTCTTACAACAGTTTATATGTTTAAAAAAGATTACCAAGTTAAATTAATTTGGAAAGTGAGATTATTGTGTTTAGTAATGATATAAGATTCATTATGTTATTTTGTTTTTGTTGTCCCCCATCGCCGAGGCGGGGGACTTAGAAATGCAGAGTCCGTTACAATCTGAGAAAGCTGTAACTTTCTCACAGAAAGTCTAAAATGCACAAAACTTGGTATGAGTCATCCATGCTGCATGCCTGACCATACCATGTGGTCATTATCAAAGCCCCGCCCCCTGACAACAAGAAGCTACCTTTTACAAAATCCGTTACACCGTTGACATACATCTAAATTCCACATATTCCAGCCAATCTGCACCCAATTTTTATGGTCGATCCTAATCCACCCCACTACACGAATGCAACCCAATTTTGGGGGCGTGGCCTAATTAGACTTCACGCCGTTGACATACATTTGGCTATAAATTCCACATATTCCAGCCAATCTGCCCCCATTTCACTATGGTCAATCATAATCCTCCCAACTACAGGAACGCAGTCCAATTTTTTATTTATTTATTTACCGTTATTTAACCCAGCAATTGAGATCCCGGATCTCTTTTTCAAGGGCTGCCTGGGCCTGAAAGCAACCTYTTGCACATTTATGGAGGGCGTGYCCTAATTAGACATCACGCCGTTGACATACATTTGGCTCTAAARCACACATACATGATCTTATCTGAACCAAATTTTGTGTAAATCATAAGGGAGACCTTCTCAACWCGTTTGTGTAGCAGATCCCTATAGCCCCCCATCAGTCCGTCTGTTCACCTTATGAGATTATTTAAATTATAAAGGCCTGTGATGTTTCCAACAAAACTGCTAACAGTAGGTCACTACTGAATGGATGGGGGACATCAACGACGGTTCATGTTGAGTTCTATCTCTTTGTTTTGTTTTTGAATATGGGGATTGTTCAAGTTTTTGTTTGGTTGAAGTTGTTTTTTTTTATAGGGGGCAGGCATTATAAGAAGTTTTTTGCCCCATTTTCATTCAGTAATTGATTTACTTAGTTTTTTTAATGGCCTTTTGTTTTTCTTTATGAATGAAATAAATTAATAAATTAAAAAAAGATAACATCATGGCCAGGGGACTACAGATGAAAAATAGCCTTTTGGCTAATTCTGTCTTTTTCAGCCTATGAGTTATGTTTTTATTGAACTGCATTGTCCCCTTTTAAATAAATAATTAGAAAATAGCAGTACACTACAGCCTGACTGTAGCCTTAARAACACCTGATTGTTTGAAATTTCACACATCTAGGTTTCCACCATCATGTCTGCGAGCACGACCACCCTGCGTTACCCGGGCTATATGAACAACGACCTGATCGGTCTGATTGCTTCTCTCATCCCCACCCCTCGTCTCCACTTCCTCATGACTGGATACACCCCACTCACCACTGACCAGTCGGTGAGTGGGTTTTTTTTTTTAGCTCCTAAAACTCGCATTATTAAATGTTTCATCGTTTTTGAGATGGAGAGTCATAACCCAACTGCTTCTCAGGTTGCTAGTGTGAGGAAGACCACGGTGCTGGATGTGATGAGGAGGCTTCTGCAGCCTAAGAACGTGATGGTGTCCACAGGAAGAGAACGGCAGCCCAGCCACTGCTACATCGCCATCCTGAACATCATCCAGGGAGAGGTTGACCCCACGCAGGTACACCGTTTGAGTTATTGAGTTAGATCAGTTCCAAAACATAATCTTGACATGTCCTGATACATCTCAGTAATCCAGGTAGAAAAAAAATCAAAAAGAAAAAATAAGTAGGTCTTCTGGATGGGTTCTTCTTTAGTGAAACGTTTCATCTCTCGTCCAAGAGACTTCTTCAGTCTGGTGAGTTTCAGGTGAACTCAGCCTTATAAGCACTGCCTCCACATGGACAAACAGGTTGGTCACATGCAAAAGAGGGCCATCGAAGGTCAAACTCATTAGACTGAAGAAGTCTCTTGGACGAGAGACGAAACYTTTCACTAAAGAAGAACCCATCCAGAGGACCTACTTATTTGTTCTTTTTGATCACCTTGATGTTTTTAAACTTGTTTGGACTCTGTAGGTGCATAAAAGCCTTCAAAGGATCCGGGAGCGCAAACTTGCCAACTTCATCCCCTGGGGTCCTGCCAGCATCCAGGTGGCTTTATCCAGGAGGTCCCCGTACCTGGCGTCTGCTCACAGAGTCAGCGGCCTGATGATGGCCAACCACACAAGCATCTCCTCCGTAAGAGCTCCTTAAAACTGTTTTAGCTTATTCTCCCACAGGGTGAAGACATCAGACATTTCAAAGTTTGTGGGTTTTTTTTTCACTTCGTTTAAAATGTAAGATGGGAAATTAAAAGTGGATAAGAAATTCAAGAAATCCCCTCCAGGTGGTAAGACTGTTACAGTTTCAGGACCTGAATTTAAGAGGAAATTTAAATCAGTTTAGTGCCATTCCAGATTTAGTTTTTATTTCCCATAAAGCAGAGGTGAAGAAATGAAACAAAAAGAGTTGTGATGTTAAGGCATTCCCAGCAGGAACATGAAATTTCCTCTGTTCAAGTGATTTAAATGACATTTTGGTCTCTCTCTCTTTCTGTTGCTGCCCCAGCTGTTTGAGCGGACGTGCCGGCAGTACGACAAACTGCGAAAGCGCGAGGCCTTCCTGGAGCAGTTCCGTAAAGAGGATATGTTCAAGGACAACTTTGATGAGCTGGACAACTCTCGTGAAGTTGTCCAGCAGCTGGTGGACGAGTACACCGCCGCAACACGGCCCGATTACATTTCCTGGGGCACGCAGGAGCAGTGAACAGACTTTGGATTCTGCTACAGTTCACTCAGGATTCACGCTAATTTATCCCACATTAGCTCTCGACGTTTATCCTACAGTCGTGTCTCAGTTGTTAAGAGTGTAGCTGCTTGTTTTGACAATTATTTATTGGTATGTGATAAAGGTGCTGGCTCTTTAAAAGGGAAACAAAAGCAATTTAAAAACGGGGATTGATGTTAATACTGACTTTCAAATTAACCAAAGTCTTTTCCTAAAAAAAAATCTAATCCCTACTTGGTTTATAAATAATCATTTGTATAAATATTTCATTAAAAGTACTAATATATGAAACAAAACTTGTTTTTGACACAATCCCTAGTTTTCCTGTTCCACACCTCTCATAGATTCACTTTTTTCCCAGCAATGTTTAACTTGTTGCCTTCTGCTCTATTTTTTTATACAGAGTACAGTCTAGTTTTGTGACCTGGGTTTACAGGAACATCCCTACAGAATGTAGGAAAGACAGAATGCATAGCTTTATGGTTAATGTAGATTTCTACCATACCTCACATTTCTCACATTGTGCATTGTACCATCTGTTTGCTGCTGATACTCTGCTTATGTTGTCACTGTTTATGACAAGCGAGAATGTTAGTTTGAAGTTAGGCTGGTGTTAAATATGACATTTAAACTGTTTGGAAGCATTTGTTGGTTAAAATAACAGTGTTCAATGTTAAAACTGACACTTACTGTGTGTAAATACTGTATACTTTAAAGAATAGTTGGCTCACTGGCATCCTCTGTAGTGTTTAAAGAGAATATACTATCTCCTGTTGCTTTGCTTGTTGGACCTGTAAGAAAAATAAACTTGTTCTTTTTTTTTTATTAATTACTGTATTCTGTCTTTTGATCCGAAGACACAGTTTTTCTTTAAAAAACACTCATGGAGCTGGTGTCCCACAAGCCTGTTTAATTACATTAAGGTTCATTACCTGCAGGGAACATAAAGAAACGACTATTCAGAGTCTTACCTGGTCTATTGGTCCCAGACTGCAAACTTTATCAAGGTTTTCTAATTAAAACCAGTGGACTCAAAACTGCTTCACAAATCTAAATTGCTTATATTAAAGGCTCGACATCACCCACAGCCTCTCTAGCCAGAGTTTACGACAAAGATTATATGTTGGGAAAATGAACTGAACCTGTTTTGATTAAACCACAAAAGTAAAAGTTTTGCACATTTCCATGTATTGTTACAGGATTCCACATTCATAATGAGCGTGATTCTCAGGTGCTACAATGAATTTTAGCTCAATATCTGCAATTAACTGAGTTCTAGCTGTTTAATTCATTCATTAATATAAAAAGAAAATCTATAAACTACAATAAAAAACTCAAGTCAGAGGAAATTAAAAAAAGCAAGAATATAGCAATATTACAGCCTTTTGTGTGTGTGTGTGTATATATATATATTTTTTTCAACAAACTAGCATTTACCGTCTTAAATGTAATGTTGATTACATGTGGCAGCCATCTTGAATTGGCTTGAATTTATTGRGTTGTAGCTGTGCATCCAGTGGTTACTTTCTGAAAGTTTCTATAAATTAAACCAGTGGTTCATGAGATATTTTACTAACAGCTGTGCACAGACAAGCAATAACACCATTGCCCATCTTTGGCCTCAATGACATTTTGTTAAGTATTAGTGATTAGCTGAACAAAAGAACCAATGACAGCATGGTAAAACAGGTATTTTTTTATTAATAATTACAACAACAGTATTTATAGTTTTTATTGCACTCCCAGGTTAGTTAAAAATAATAGTGCAATTGAATATATTACATTACATATTACATTAAAAAGGTACCATGCAGCATACAAACAAGCTTAATACTAAGCAAAGACATCTGCAATTTTTTTTCTTCTTTCCTTTTTTCATGTAGCTTGGAGCTGCCTGCAGCTGCAGTGGAAAAAAAAAGCTAAAGACTTGCTTCTGAGRCAGGGACAGGGTAATGACTTGTCAAGGCATTTTACGGTGAAGAAACTAAAGTTTTTTAGGTTATTTTAAGGGGTTGTGTAGTAGACAGAACTGTAGTGCTATTTGTACAAAACATACCTACAAAAAAAAAAAACAAGTCGTACATCAAACTATTGGAAATGAATCAAACTCTACCTATTTGAGTATGRATATAGGTATTCTGTCTGCATTCYTGAAAAATATCATCTAAAATATGATTTTTTTTTTATCTTTGGTCCATGCTCAAACTCATGACCAGGCAATACTTTGGCTTCACACAAGTATTCAAATMTTGAACAGAAAAAGAGCTACACAGAGTTAACACACAAGGTGCTTTAGAGAGCAGAGTCAAAACCATCTATGGCCCGGTCAGTTAAAGCAAACCTAATATCAGAAAAAGCCTACATTTAAGACCGAAAGTACACTTAAAAAAAGGGGTGAAGTCTGCATAAATACAAAAAAATAACCATGGCCAGATTAGAAAACTGTTTGACTAAATGGCAGGGGACAGATGGCGCTCTGCATGGGGAATACACCAGTCACTTTTTAATTTATCGAAGTTATTAAGCTTTGTGGCATTCTTTCTATTATATATACATTATAAAAATAAACAAAGAAGCACCTGTTATCTTCAGCATAACAAAGCTGAATTGGGATAGTTAAGTGACTCAAGCAAAGTTAGCCAGTCAAGTGTTATCCAAGTTTCATGTCCAGGGCTACAGCCAGGACAAGCAGCACGACAAAGGAGAAATCAGAGCATTTGGTGGCAACGTGGTGGGAAAAAAAAACAGCTCCTAAATCCTTTGATTTCTCTGAAACACAGTCCTGAATGTGACATCAGAGAAATGTTTTGTTTTTGTGATCAAACTGAAACAGTTAACCCGTTAGAATGGAGGTCTACAAAYCGAAGGCAGCCAAAGTGACTCGACTACAACGGAGCTCAACATCTGCTTCCAGTTCCAAGTTCAAATGGCTCAATGCATCAACAGTTCCAGGTAATGCAAGCCCATCCGGGACCTTGTGAAAACGGACTTTCTGATGAACGGGTCAGCATAGGGGCACGTGAGAAAAAGCATCAGAGTGTGTGTGTGCGTGGCTGAGAAACAGATCAGCAAAAACCAGGCGGGTTGATGAGTGTATAACTGAGTGTTCTCAACACTCTTCCAGCAGTGCGTGAAGGATGACCGCCTTCATGGGAAGGCAAATCCAATATGGCACACCCCAGGAGATACAGAGGAGGTTAAAGGGTAGTGTTTTCACTCGAAGCTAGAGCTTTCTGATGGGAGCACCACAGCTTATGGTTACTGCAAGTCTKGAGTTTTTTGATGCGACACGACTCGTGTCAACATCTTGTCGAAGAAGGCAGAGCGAGGTTGGTTTCTGGGTGATTTTGTGCTCAAAAGCCGAGCCCCTTGTCTTACCCTCCCCAACTCCTCTTTAGTCATTTTATGGCTGAGTCTTTCATACAATGGAGTATTAGGTTCCCTCAGACGTTTGGTTCTTTTTTTATTTTTGAGATTGAAATTGTAAGCGTTGAGAGTAAATATTTTTGACAGAAAAAAAGTGTCAAATTTATTGACGGAAAACGTTGCAATGTTGAAAAAATTAAGTTGTCTTTCTGCACTGCTCCTGAGCCCAACTGTTTTTGTTTCAGTGATGCCCCTCACAGAAGAGTTAAGTTGTTGCAACACCATTGCAGTGAGGATGTACTGGGGGGAATTTACTTTTATGTGTGAGTGTTATGGGTGCACTTTTAATTGATTATCTTCAAAATAACATGGAATATTTCAACTGTACCATGCTGAAGTAAATTTAATCACTCATGCTGCAGAAAAACCTCACAGACCTTGGTTTTGTCCTTCACAATAAGAGGCTGAGTGCTAACCTAAAAATCTCTCTTGAAATATTTGACACTTTTATTTTCAGTGAAACTGACACTGCAGCCTATGTCACCAAAGATTTTGAGTATTTAAAAGTCAGTACCCGATGWATGTGTTTGAGGCTCTTATTGTGAAGGAAACAAATTCTGAGTAATAAACTGCACATTGGATTAATATAAAATGCATGCTATTTTGTAGTTAGCAGAGTAAAATACACCTATAACCATCAGATTCAAGAGTAATGACCTAAAAACAAATGAAACAATTACAATCCAGATTAGGAGTACAGCAAGATTCACTCCCTTTGARTTAAGTCCTTCAACATTGCAACTTTCTTCTGTCAATTAAATCAGCCGTTTTATTGATTTCCAACATTAGAATCTCAACATTTACATTTTAAAATCAAAACTTAAAAAAGAAACGCTACTCTTTTTTTTTCTTCTTCTGAGTYGCCCTAATACGCCGTCGTAGCCTTTCATCTAGAAAGCTCAGCAAAGGTTTATTTTCAATGGACGAGGAGGGAAAACAGCCCTTTCTTTGTTTTGACGGCTGTGCTATTCCCAGTGGAAGAGGCACAGGGATCCTGAGGACTGGTGGAGGGGAGGGTGGGAGGGTGTTATCTTGACACAAGTTCTTCTCAGACAGGGTGAGAGGGCAGCTCCAGAAGTGTGGGCGTTGGTGTCGAGGCCAGGTGACAGAACCCAAACTCCGTGCTTTCTGTGATGGTGATGTCTGGTTCCTCCCCTTTTTCTCGCTGGTGATGGATGGCGCTGAAATARGCATTCATGAGCTGCATGATCTCAGTCAGCTGCGTTGGAGAGACAGAGAGAGAGCGAGAGGTCAAATTGGTGGCAGACTCAGTGTCTGTCTGCACTGTCACAGATGATGTCATCTAGAACCCCCACAAGCAGAGAAAGCATGATGTTWAACAACAAAGCAGAAGTATTTATTGCCCACCACTGAAGGCAAAGCAGTGATAATCAGGGGCGGAGCCAGAGGGGTGGCAGGGCACCTGATTGGCCATCCAAAGTGCCACCCTCAAATAATTAGCAAGTGGGTGCGGATCTTGAATTTTGTATTTGTATTTAGATTTTGTTAAAGATTGTTCTCTGATACTAGTGTAATAAATACATTTTCAGTCGTGATTGTTCAAAAATGGCTGAATTATAGCCCTTTGTAAAACTAGCATTAGTGGTTAGCTTAATTAGGGATTAGCATCAGCAATCAGTGTGTGATCATTCTTAGCTAGTCCACAACAAGTTTCTTAAGAATAAGTCTTAAAATGGCTGAATTATAGCCTTTTAAAGTTAGCTGTGGTGGCCATATTGAACTGTTGATTAGCATTTGGAATCTGGTTAAGATTATTTGTGGCTACTTCTACACTAGTCTTCAGCTGTGTATGTCTAAAAATGGCTAAATAATAAGTTGTGACTAGTAGGGGTGCAACAATACAGAAAATTCACGATTTGGTTTGGTTCGATACTTTAGTGTCACGGTTCGATATTTTTTTGATACAAAAAAGAGAAATTTGCATGCCCCTTTTAACTTGTAATTTATTTAAATTAATTATGAACATTTGTTTAACCTCAAAAGTACAGTTTTTAAATTAAATGTTGCTGAAACAGCAAGTTTCTCAGTGGATCTGCGCTCAACAATGCAGCCTAGGTGGAGTAGTCGAACACAGATCCACTGATTCTTCAACACAGAGCATCTTCAGAAGACAAGTTGATAAAGTAAATTTTAAAAATCTGTATTGTTCAATATAAATGTGTACTGAACCTAAAGCACTGTTCGATACGGGTACATGTATTGTTGCACCCCTAGTGACTAGCTATCAGCGTACTTTTTATCATTCTTAGCTCCGATCACAAACTTTCAGCTCAAGATTTCTTATAACAGTAAAATTAAAGCTTTTTTAAAATTAACCATGGTGGCCAACTTGAATTTCATTTTATTTTTTTTATTTAAAAGGGGCAATATTATGTATTTTTCAGGCATATATTTAAATTCTATACCATAATAAAAGTAACTATGTCACCTTCAGTTGTTATTAAAATGTTTATATGTTTAAATAGAAAATAAACGTGACTTCTCATTATATCTGTTTCTAAACGCCTTGAAATTAGCCTCCGTCTCTTTAAGAACCTCCTTCCGCTACTGTCCCGCCCATTTTAGCATGGGGCTGGGTGTGTGTGTGTGCTCTGTGATGAGGAAGCTCAGCTTGGAGACACAGCCCAGAGGAGGAGCTGACCCCCAAAAGGCGGTTCTAGTCCCAACCGACTGTTTTTGCTCCCCTGCCTGGCTGCCTCAGGACACTACAGGATTTCTCAAACATGCATGAATGAGTCAAAGAAAGACTCTGGGCATGTTTTTGATGAGAAGATAACATTATAACATGATACACAACTCAAAAAAAGTTGATTTCACATGACATTGCTCCTTTAATTTGACCTTTATCTATACAGGTCGTCCCCCAATTTCCAAATSTACAGTGCTTTTCTTTATTTGTATGTGCCCACATAAAAAAAACACCTGAGCCACCCCTTGCAAAAAAAGTCTAGCTCCGCCCCTGGTGATAATGTTTTTGCTTGTGTATGTGAATACAGTTTGTTCTCTTCTGATCATAGTGTGATTCTGGTTTATAACTCCAACATTTAAAAGTGGCAGGAGATATGCTTTCCTTAAGAAACTTCTTAGACTTTAATTTGTCTAGCAGCCTTTGCAGAAATAAAATATGAAACATGTTTTTGAGGATTTAGCACGGCTCCTCTCTAAACCACAATGACAAATGTCTTTTTTTTTCTGCTCATGCTTCTCTAACTGAGACAGTCCTGAGTAAAACAGTCACCTGCTTTTAATATTTAACATTAATGCTTCATCCAGCAACTAATATTGTTTCATCCTTAAATCCGAGGCTAACGATAATCAAATCAGCTTTCTTTTCCCATGCCCGGCGGCTGAGAGTCCTTCCTATTAATGCCGGAGCTAAAGTTCATAAAAGTCTTTCTGAGCTGAACTCCAGTTCGCCTGTGAGTCCAATAAATAAATAAAAGCCACTTTTGTGCCTCATGAGAGATCACAGAGGGATTTTTTGTTCCGTGTGGGAAGATGCAAGGAAATCAGTTCAGTGAAAGGCAAGATTTGTTCTCAAGAGAGCGTGGGGGGGTGGGGGAGGGTGTCTGTCTGGAAGAACATCCATGTTTCTGAGAAATGTTTAGCCTAATATTTTAATCTAACCACAGCAATAAAACGTACCCACATGCCATTTAATCCCAGGAAGTTAAACTGGTGGTGGTTAGCACTGGTTGGAGAGAAGAGACAGGTTGTGTGTTGTTTGTGCAGACCAAATTAATGAGTGTTTTTAAGGTCGGTCGAAGAACTGGAAGGAAGGGGCGGTTATCATGAGCAGACACTGTGCGTCTTTTATGCTGCGGAACACAGCTGGATAATGTGACTTCTTGACCCTATTCTAGCTTTGGTGAAAGGTTATTTCTGAGCACAGTGAAGAGGAAAAAAAAGCTTCAACATACTTTTGTTTTCTGCAAATCCAGCATCTAAGCCATATTTACCTTGGTGGTTTCAAATATCAGATCCCGGTCCCCTGCTGTGATCCTGAAGGTATTGCTGTCAGACACGCCGTAAGAGCAGATCTGTCCATAAGGGAAAGACTCCAGCGCTTCTGATTCTCCCTGCTTGTACAGAGACACGGACGTAGCAGCTACACCCAGCCACAGCTTCTGTGAAAAATTCCCTGTTGAGCTCTGCAGGCAGATAGAGGCAATCAAACGTCAGAGAAGTCCACAGGAGCAATGGTGAAAGGTCAGCTCACAAAACTTACAATATAAAAGTCCACTTCATAAAGAGTGCATCCAAAGCCTGACCACTGGCGTGCAATTGTGAGGTAGGCAGCCATACTGTCCCTGCGGCTGTAACCAGCCAGATCCCTCCACCGCTCCAAGATGGAAGCCATGACAGCCGCCGACTCCTCCTTCAGCCGACTCCGCAGCAGCTTGTCGTGCTCCACCTTCTGTTTGTGCGCGGCTGCAGCCATGTGGCTCCACAGGGTCCCGGACAGGAGGCTGGTAGGGAAGCGCTGCGTCGCGGGACAGCCCTGAGCCGCCACCTGACACGGTGGCACCGCCTGGGGGGCCGAGAGAGACAACAGGACTCTGGTTTCAAGCATGTGACCCGGGACCAGCTCGTCCAGGGGTGGGCAGGGGGCGTGAGTGCTGAAGTCTCCCATCAGTGACTGAAGCCTCAGGGCAGCCAGAGCCTGCAGGTCCTCCTCACAGGCTGGCAGCTGACCACGCACCACCATCTCATGGCACTGCAGCAGCAAAACAGACGAAAGTAATAAGTAGTGTTTGCTGGTAATAACCTCGGGCCTGCTATCAATCCACTCTGCCCCCGCCCTGTTTGATTCTGTCTCATAAATCTTTTAAAAGAATCTTCAGGAAAGTGTTTTGAACGAAGCCAGTCCTGGCTGCCTCTTGGCTCTGCTGAGCCTCAGCCAACGCTCTTAGTCACACTTATTGTACTCGGCAAGGTTATAATACTTTAGGATTTTTCTTTATAGTTTAGTTTTATTTCATTGTGACTTTTTTTCTTTTAATTCAGTTAGTTTAAATTTTAATTAGTTTTTGCAGTGGATTTGCTAGTTTTTATTAGTTATTATTGCATTTTTAATGTTTAGTTTTAG